TTGTCCTGAGGACCCCTACTTGAAGTAGATGCCAGCTTTTCCCACTGGAAACCCATATTTTCAAGATCTTTAAAAAAAATCACTTGAGTTCACATCAGTCTGAAGTTACTCTGTGAAGACTTTCTCTGGGCCAGTTTTCATCCTTAAAATTAGTCTGGCTTAAAATTACGATTACTCAAAATGTTTAAGAAAACTCTATGACTATCTTTTAAAGTCTTCCTGAACATCAAAACTAAGGAAAGGCATCATTTAGGGTTTGCAAGAGATCTTAGAAGTACTTCAATATCGAGGCTCAGGATTGCCCAGTAGTTTTTCTCAGTTCAGAATGCAAGGTCTAGAAGGATTTCTTGCCCCTTTCCAGAAGTACTTAGGGCTGCGACTATAGCAGTTTAAACCATGGGTCAGTACTAAATTCCTGTCCAATTCGCTCAGAATAAAGGGAAGGGTGGGGAGGGGGATGCTCAACGGGGGGCAGAGAAACAGTCGTGCTACTTTCTTATCACGAGGGCCTCTGTTCCTCCAGCACTCTGAAGTACAGAACAAATGTGTAAGCAGGGAGGAAATGGATGGGCACAATTTAACCTCATCTTAGTACAAAAAATTGTCCTGGGTTTACATTTTCAAAAAGCAAAAATCCAAAAAGGGTTGAAACTGCAAAATTCCTGGGAAACCCAAAAATCCACATTCCATAGTTTTATCAATTTAAACCTCTCTGAACAAGGTAAAAATAAACTCCCTGCTTACAAAGCAAGTCAACTTATTTTGTATGTACAGCTATAAACTGTTTGCAAGGCTCCTAAGTCAGGCGCACAGGATGAATTATGAATGGAGTTAGCCAGCTTGACTTGGAATTTCCTCACTTTTACTGGTCTTTAAACAAGATTTTTATACATTCATATGTAATCGATGGGACCAACACATAAAATGGCCCTTCACATAAAACACTCTGTCTTAGAGTGATTTTGCAGTTAAGGAAACTTAAATATGAACTTCTAATGTGAAAAAAGTAGTTTATACATGGTGCTTTAAAACAGATCTGGAAAACTGATGAGCTGACCATAAGATTTCTGTCAGAAACTGAAATTAAGTTTATATTTTAAAATACAATTTTAAACGCTTGCTTTCTTTCAAAAGCCAATCTGCTTCTCATCTTCTTAGCTTTAGTCACCTTAAAAATACATAAATTTAGTATTTGGCTATTGAGTTTTAAAGTTGCAGGGTATAATAATTTAGATCCATAAATACAGAGCACACACACACAAAATCCTCCCTGAGTGCAAAACTACCCTTAAAATGATCATCCAAAGAAGCCAATGCAGCCCATCCTGATTTAATTTTGGCTGTTACTTATTTAATACCTTAATATATTGTCTTCCATATAAAACTTGAATGCTCTTAAACGTTTCCTACAAACTGGTATATCTAAATTGATTTTAATTGCAATTTGTGTGCATTAATAAAAAAAGAGATTGGGACCATTGCCAAACTTTATAGAGAGAAACAAACCTGGGTTGTTTTATACTCCAACAGAGCACATGTTTAATAAATGGATTCTATGTACATAAGTGGAAGATTAATACAAAATACTTCACAACTTTTGATGTGGAAAGTAAAATGGAACAAATTTCAATGCATTTTTGATCATATAGCTGATATAACTAAATATTTGGAACATTTAAAAGACAGATACTAGTTAAAATCCACAGGAAAATTTTAAAGTTTAAAAAGCAGTTGGAGAAAAGACTTTCTAACTTAGGACATACTTGCTGCGTTATCAGGGTCTATAGATTTCAGTAATAAAACGTGTTTATAAACTTCCCTTGTCTTTTTAAGTCCCTCAAATATATAGAGGTTCAAGAATATTTTCCTATTTTTTCAAAATACATTAAAAAGATGATATCCACTATCTTGACAGAACTCTGCTAATAAATTTTTAATAACTGATTATAACATAGGAAGAACAAAAGTCTCTGAATTTTTTTTGACAAGGAGAAGGATGGCATAGGAAAACCACTTTAAAATGTTTTATATTAATTTAAAATGTGCAAATTCACAAGTTTCTCCACAAAAATCTTTGATCTCACAATTTTATAGACTGCATTTACAAGCTTAGAAATCCTCTTTTCTCCATGAAACTCCTTGAATACGGTTATTTAATCTCACTAAAAGTTTTTTTTTAATTACTTGTAGCAATCACATCTCTAGATGGACAGAGCTAAAAATAATAATTGTGATGTTTTGCTAGTTATGAAAAACACTTTTTGAAGGGCAGGTGAACCTCAATCTGAAATGTGAACACAGAATAAAATAATACAAGTATAAAGTTTCCTCTTGAAGTTTGTAAAGAAAGAAAGGCTTTTGATAACATTTAAACAAATGCAACACCTTTATTCTGAACTATTGAGAAAATTCTAGGTCGTTCGAAATCTGTTTCTGTACTTCCATAAATGTACCTAACTCTACATTTTCAAAGGCAATACTGACGAAGCACACACTCACAACTGCACTCTGCAGGGAGTGTCTGAAAGGCAAGTCACTCAGTGTCATCTGTCCCTTCCCCAGGGTTAGGTACTGAGTCAAGATGGAATTTTATTATTTATATCCGTTCCCATAAATTCTGTTTTTATTAGCTCTCAAAGCCTTTTAATAGCCAATGTCAAACCACATTTAAGTTGACTTGTTTGCTTTTTTAACGGTGATACTCCAGGCTAATACAAATACTTTGCAAAAGACAATAAACAGGAACATCTTTTTCATAGGCTCTGTAACAAAACAAACCAGAAAGTCTAAAACATGGAGCTTCAATTCCCACTGTAAACTGTTGTATTTATGGCAAGCTACAAGTATTCGGTGAATATCACTTATCAGACATCTTCGGATGATCCATTTGTCCTTGAACATTAACCTACCCTTCTCAAAAGCAAATGCCTTTGCCACCTGGAAAATTAAAAACACAAGACGTCCTCATCGTAGCCTGTGCGCGCCTCCACTGGACACTGGAATTACGTGGTAACTTTAACTTACCTCTTCTAGGCTTTAGTAACAGGTTTACTTAATTTTTTTTTTAACTTTCTATCAAATGCTAATTCTTAAATGTAGCTTAGAACCTTGGACATCTCTGAGGATAAATGATGTCAAGAAACGTGTCACTGCCCATGGATTTCCTCTTTCACTAACTTCTAATTACCGCACTCTTCTGACCGCAGCGTTAGCATCATTTCCAAGGGCCAAGCAAGTCCTGGCACGTTATCTCGGGCTGAAAAGCATCCCTCTTTCATTGGGCACCTTGACCGACATCTTTCTGCCTAGAAGACAAATACTTTTCACATCTCGCACCCTTCTTTACAAACCTGCGCGGGACTTTCGAGGGGAGGGGGAAGCAAGACTTTGGTGGGAGCTGCTTTTCTTCAGCAAAGCCAGGGCAGACAGCAAAGGCGCAGGCTGGGCGTTCGAGCCATTTCCTGCGGATTCCAGAGTCCACTCGGAGCAGTGTGGAGAGGAAGTCGGGCTTCTTTTCCAGGCGGAGCCTCCACTGTGGGCTCTGGGGAGACCCCCGGGTCTTGGCCAGACGCCGGTCCGCACTTGCGAACCTTGGTAACGACCCGGAGCCGGACGCGTGGGTTCGAGCCCCAGGCAGGCCACCCAGCGTTAGAGGGGTCGCCGGGACACTGGGCACTCTGAACTCCGGAGGGAGAGCTGGGCAGGGGAGAACTCGCTCCCGGAGCTACGGTGTCCTACCCGGGAACGCACTTGCACCCGCAGCGCGACCGCAGACCTGCCGCAATTTTCACCGGAGCCACGCGCGGAGCCGGACGTCGGCTCGCTGGTTCCTCGGTTGCCGTGGGCGGGGCGGTCAGTCCCAGGGCGCTCGCCTGGGGGCCCCACCCCGTTCCCCGGGGTTTAGCACCGCACGGGACAGCGCGTCCTACTCCCGGACCCTGAATCAGACTGGGCGGCAAAGCGCGACTTACACTTTATTTACCTCCGTTTTGGAAAAAACGTCGCGGGGGGGAGAGGGGACCTCACTGTAAATATGATTTCGAGGTGGGGCGAGGGCTAGGCGCGCGCGCGGCTCCGCGGGGCGGCGGCGGCGGCGGCGTGGGCGCCCTTGCGGGGATTCCCGGTCTCGCAGCGCGCCCTAGTGGACGCCTTTCCCTCGCCCGCTCCCCCGTGACGCTCCTGCGTCTCCCTGCGCTCATTACAATCTGCAATATATTATTTCTCCCGAAGTATTGACAATGTGTGAGACTCCAGTAACCCCAGAGCTCTCGTCTGTAATCAGCACATTTATTCACATTTAGGGGGGAAAATCCGAATTAAATCTCCGTGACCCTGATTGGGTTACTGTGTCATTTTCCCTGGATCCTCTTTTAAATCCACTCCACACTGCTTCTCTGTCTATTACATGCTAATTTAATTTTACTGTGGACGATATTTTCAGCATTTGCTGAGGACAGTAAATTTTGTAGTTTATGTTATTTCACTTTTTATGACTTTTTAACACTTAATAAAATTTTATTAGAGCACTTTTGTGTTTACAAGGCCACAAAACTCTTGGCAGGTTGTCAGAAGTCCTTTTTATTATGATCCTACTGATATACTGCGAGTAATGAAATAATCATGTCCAGAAATGTATCAAAGGCCAGAGGGATTATCCCACTTAATAGCTCCACAGATGCGCCCAGAGGAATGCGGACTCGGGCAGGACGGGCTGAGAGGCTGCGGGAGAAAGCTGGCAGCCCCCGCTCGTTCTTTACCATTTCGGTTGCTTTCCTAAAAGGCTACATGCAGGGTCATGTGACTTTCTGCGGTCTCAATAAAAAAAAAAAAAAAGAATTTATTCTATTGCAAAATGTGCTTTTCTTTTTATTCTCCTTGTGCGGGCATTTAAGGCTGTTCTAGTGGCAGTGGGGCTGGCTCAGCATATCCGTGTCAGTCACTTTCCTCTCAATTCTAAGTGTACTTTTGTGGCATTTAAGCAGCGATGGTGACATTGGTGTTGAGGTGTGCGGCTTCAAGAGCGCACACCGAAGGCGTTGCAAGGGATCCAGAGGGGCAGGAGGCGTCTTAAAGTCCTTCCCCTCTTGCCAAACAACGCCTTTGGCTGTTGCTTTTTTATTTTATTCTGTTTTACAAAAGAGGGAAACAGTGACCTGAGGATTCTGCTTTCTGCCTTGTATTAGGGAGCCACAGTACGCTGCTTTTCTTGTATTTCATTTTTTGATAAGACTTGCTATGAGAAGGATGGAAATATGACAGCTTTTGATTTCTTTTAAAAATATTTGCTTTTTTTTTTTAATTACAAAAGTAGAGTATGTGATCATATAACACACTGGCGTTCAGTTCATCCTTCCTGCAAAAGAAGGCCATTGTACTTCCTGACCTGAAAGCAAGGTGGGTGGCTTTGTTTTATCATCAACTTTTCTCTCTCCAGCTTCATAGTTCTCTTTTTCTGCGGCTTCCTAAACAGTGTGCCAAAGGGATAAAAGAGATGAGGAGTAGACTCGTAAATGGAGTAATTTTGGAATTGCTGTTGCTGTGTCCATCCGCAGCACGTGTTCTCCTAAACTTTGGCTTTAGAGGACCTTGGCAGTGGTCTCCACGTGTGTGTGTGTGTGTGTGTGTGTGTGTGTGTGTGTGTGTGTTTTGTGTTCCAACACAGCACATTCAGATGTTGTAATCTGTCATCATTTACAGCGACCCCTGGGAAACACGCGCCTCTCTCTGGATTGCCTTCCCCCCACACGTGTGTGTGTGCACTCTTGTTCAGGTGTGTACATAAGGCTCTCACGAGGGCTCTTGGATTTCAACTTCAAGAGAGTAGTTTTGTGCCTCGTATGGCATTTGCTTGCTGTGGACCAAACTCAGCACCTGATTGAATACTCTAAAGGCCCACGATGGTGGTGTTCTTAAAGGAACATAGAAAGGACTGCACCGGTCCCTTACTTTATTAATTAATTAATTAATTTATTTATTTATTTTGTCCTGACACTGCTGGGGCAGCCACTTTTCTCCATTCCCTGTGTCTCCCACTTGCGAATATGAGTTCTTCTTATTTCTCTTTTTTCAAGTGATTTTTCTAACAGCTGAAGAAAGGGGAAAGGGAGTGATGTTAGGCTCCGAGTGAACAGCCTTCCTCCATCCTGGTGCTCACTGATGGTTGGTGTTCTTTGCCCTTTACCACGAGAAACACAAGACAAGGCAGAGTCGAGGGTTCGGATTTTAGCCCTTTAAATATCAGTTTTACAGAAGGGAATTTATGCCTAAGTGCAGGAGCCAAGAGGAGCACATTCATTTTCACTCTGTTATAACGTGACAGTTCCATTTTATAAGTAATTTGTGTTTAAGACAATTTAAATAATACTCCAAAGGCTGCAATAACTTTCAAGTTAGAAATCTGTTTTATTAGATTATGAAGTAAACCTCCCCTAAGGTAAATATTTTTAATGCTTCCAATGATGTAATTCTCATTCAGAAGGTTGAGAGACTGGCTTCAGCACACGCAGTAGCTGACGATACACAGTTCAGCCCATGAGAGGCCTTCGGGAGTGTCCACACTGCTATGATGTCTTCTGAAGTCTTCAGTGTGGAAAGTAAAGTGAAGCCCCAGTCTTATCATCTAGGAAATCTGTCTTTGAAAAGAGGAGTAAGGACATAAGTCCGAGTCGTGAAATGACCTGGTAAGCCCAATGCTATTAGAAAGCAGGAGGACTCGGGATTATAAGGGCAACCCCCAGAACTACTTTGCCAGTTGGAGACTCCATGCTACTGACAATGGACAGCTCTCCAGGGGAAGTCGTGTCCAATGGATGTTTCACTTTTCCCAGGGGGTTTTATGCCGTATTCTTCATTAGCAATTTGCTTGTAAAGTTTTGGAGGAAAGAGAGAGTGAAATTTTGGGAGCTCTCCAATTTGGGGAGGTATGGTAAACCAATCTAATATGCCATTCCTATCAAAGCACTGTACATTCTGATCAATAAACAGCAGTTGTAAGCACTGGCTGAATCTTTTGCATACATTCTTTCACTTTATCTTTATACCGATGTTCAGGATGATACTTCTCAAATCCCTATTTTACAGGTAAGGAAGATGAGACTCAGAGGAGTTGAGTGACTTTCCCAAGATCACACGGCTGTCGGGTTGTCGGAAAAGTCATGGTGCATTTTTTGCATAGAAAAACACAGAAGAAATGTGTCACGACTTTTCCAACAACCCAATAGTGAGTGACAGATCTGAGAATTTAACCCAAGTCTATGGGAATGTAAAACCTATGCAGTGCGCTCTCCTCCACACTGCCTCCCAATCTGCTTTGCCTTACAGAGCCCTATGCGATTCTTAAAATTATCGTGTAAACTGTAATGAAATTGGAAATGAACGAAGCTGGGACACAGACCATCACCTGAATCACTGGGAATATTGTGCAGTGATCGCGCTCAGGGCAGGGTGAGACACCGGCCTGCCTCTCGAGCCTTGCCTATCCTCAGTGCATTTCACTGCTATAAGCAGATGTGTCAGCAGAGCCAGAGAGAGAAGTCAGGGTTATGTTTTCTCCCTTTGGAAAAATATGATTCAGCTGAATTTATCTCAACTAGTATTAAAACATCAAGTGAACAGATTTACAAGGCAATTAAAGACTAAGAAAGCAGAACTCAGACAAGTGGGTGGCAGAGCAGTTTTTCCTTTTAACCACAAGTTCTTTATGGACTTCAAAAATACTCATTCTCCCAAGATACTTGGTGGGTGTTGTGTTCATTTCAGGGAACGAAGAACAGCCTAAGACAATGAAGAAACCTTGAGCCACGTACAGGTTATTTAACGAGCAAGCAAAGAGTAATGTAGGAAGGCTCCTCTTTAATCACGTATTGATTCTGCACCCTAGAAACAAGACTCTCCCCAACACACACACACCCCAAGAGAAAGCTATGAAGCACACAAGTTGTTCCAGGGAATGTTCAATAGCCCCTTGGTATAAAAGCCACCCAGGAATAAATTTCAAAAGTGGATGATAGTTACCTGGTACATTCCATTACTTTTCTTAAGAAGAAAAGGCTCCGTCCTGGGTTTAGTGACACTCTAACCACAGCCAGAACAATTAGAATTAATCTTTGACTTGCAGCTTGCTACTGTGATTGCTGGGAGAGAGGGAGGAAGGGGGAAGGAAATAAGAGACACTACTGAAGAGCTCAGGACCCCAGAGACCAAGCTGACCGCGTAAATTCAGAAACCGCAGACTCGGAGGCTGGCTTAGCTGCTCAGGAATCCAGGAAAACACCAGGTTTTGGTGGCTTTTCTGGGTGAGAGTTCTGGGGTTTACCATTTCTCGGGCATGTGTGACTCGAGGCATTTACTTTGCCTTTTCCTAAGTTTTCATTTTTGAAAGGGAAAAGTAATCAGATCTTTTGCTAATGAATGGTTATGTTGTACTATAAATAACACCTCCCTAGGGGATATTCAAAGACTTTGATCCTTTTTAATTGGTACATACTAATTGTTCATATTTATGGGATACAGAGTGATTTCTCAGTGCATGAATACAGTGTGTCATGGGCAGGACACAGCCTATCTGTCACCTCAAACATTTATCGTTACTTTGTGTTGGGAACATTCTTTTAGTTATTCTGAAATATGCAATAAGTTATTGTTAACTATAGTTACTCTACTGTGCTATCAAGCTCTACAACTTAGTCCCCTTATCAACTGCAATTTTGTCTTCATTAACCAGTAGCTCTTCATCTGCTTTTCTCCCCTTCGCTTCTTAGCCATTACTAATCAGTATTTTACTTGTAATTTCTATGAATGAAGTCAGCTTACTTCATTTTCACATGAGTGAAACATGTGATTTTTTTCTCTCTCTGTGCCTGGATTATTTCACCTAACAAAATATCTTCCAGGCTCATCCATGTTGCCTCACTTCACAGGACTTCCAAAAGTAATCAGACTTTTAACTCAGTCATGGAGTTTTGGGACTTAAGGCCATATTTAGAGTTAGTTTTGAGCTCTTGACTATGAAGTCCGGATACATTTTTTTATACAGATGAGAAATTTATTGTGTCTTGATGAATATTTGATAAGAATAAGAGAAAACTAAAAATAAGGCATCAACTGCTAAATTCAATTCCACTAAAATAAAAAGGTAGCACTATACTCATTAAAATTGAGGTTACACATTTCTCAAAAGATGGAGGGAATAGATACTCAACCCATGTTGCAGCAGACATAATTTTAAGCCATGAAAACTTTTAAGTACCTCGAGCTATTTTCTTCAAATTTGGCTTGCCTTTCTTTCAGCATATGTGAATTTGCCAAGTACAAGTTTATTGCTATAACCAATTTTGAAAGATAGTACATCTTTTTTGAAAAGGCCTGAGTACTTTTTGATTATTTAATGGAAGGAATGTATGCTTTTCCCTTTTATGTATCTTTCAAACTGACTACTCTGATATAAATAAAATATTTTTTAAATGTATTCACTTTTTTTTTTTTTTTTGCTAAGATCATTCTGTTCCATGGAAGTCACAAGTGATTGCTGAAAAGGATACTGTAAAGGGAATGGTGTCTCAGTTCTAGATTTGATTAACATAGGCAGCTAGCCCAAGAATCAGATCTTATTCCTGAAGTTTCAGAATCTCAAATAAAGCCAGAATAAGCAAGGCCCAAATACAGCCCCCTAAGCAACAAAGCAGGGAGCTTGGGCGGCCAGCTCTCAGGACAGGAAGCCGCTGGAATCTGGTTGCTAGGTAACACTGGTCTTTGGCTGGCAGCAGGAAGATGTCCTTGAGCATGGCTTCCCCTGTGGTTGGCTTTGGACAAGCCCGGAATCTGACTGCCCTCACTAGTGCCGCCCTCCTAGCGGGACCAACCAACCCACGGCGCAGGTGCCACCAAGGGGCACCAGTGGGTCCTGTTCCCTTGGGAGGCTTCCCATACAAAGCCTGCTTTTCTGATGTGCTCTTCTCAAATCGATAAGCATTTTATAGATCTACGCTGAGTCATGAGCATATGGAAAAAACAACTTCCAGTGTGGTGCTTATACCGGGGAGAAATTTACAAAATAAAATTAGGTCCTGGATTATATAAAACATCCTACAAAGGCTGTAAGAAAAAAAGATGGATAAGATAATGGGTTCATGGTAATTAAGAGAGGCTTCTAGAGGAGATGGCTCTGGAACTGGAGAATTTGACTAGGGGAAGATGATTCTGGCAGGGGAGTACCAGGCCTGTGGTAGGGAGCTCTCTGGGGAGGGTGGGGCTTGAGGGCAGTGAACTTGTCTTCCTTACTCACAGAAGCGTCGCCAGCACCTAGAACAGTATGTGGCACAGAGCCTGTGTGCAGGGTTCAAAGGCTGAAAGGACGCAGGAGAATGGAGGTGTGGGAGATGAGTGGCAGAGGCTCA